AGTGCAACATAATGTTAGCTTTGTGCTTTAATGTTTTTGATTCCAAAGTCATGCTTCACTAAACTCCAGAGAAAAGACGACTACATTTAGCAGGGTCATCGTGGTTCAGTGAATAAAAATCATGTGCTTTTAACATCACCCAAACTCGAACGAAGCCATTTTTAGTATCTGGCGGTGGTGTTAAATTAGCCAACACATCATGAATGAGTCAGTCCTGAACAGAGTTTATTGTAACTCAACCTGTAACTCAATAATGTAGTTAGCTGTCAATGAACTAAGTGTTGCCCTTGCTGGGAAACTTCTCTATTAACTGGCTCGTTGTGCTAGTTTTGGTGACTAAAAGTGTATCCATTTCCTCCCTTTCACCCATGTGTGTTTGGATTTGCAAATGCAGTAAGAAAGACTTACTTTAAAGATATGATTGACTCTTAATAGATAACAGCAGTGTCAAGTTGGAGTTGTTTAAGTTTAGCAAAAGATTAAATGCACACATTGACTGAGGGTGTGTCCCCGCTGCCCAGCATGGGTTATATCCTACACTGCTAACAGATACAGGAAGTCACAGTTTTGGGTGTTTTCTATGTCTAATATCTTTGCTTTATATTAGTAATTAGAACTTTGTAAAAAGGATTTACCAGTAACTGAAGAAATAACATCTTTTTCATGGGGGGGTTTTGTGTATGATACTATCTTTATGTGTTATTCTGCCGCCAATATAATCAATCCAGGACTTTTCCAGCCACCTAAAATATCTTTATACTCTTATGTTATTTATTTATTTATTGTAATTTTTGCTGCCCTCTTGGCCAGATCCTGCTTGAAAAATAAATTTTTTTTAACCTCAATGAGACTTTTTGCCAAGAACTGCCTCTAACTTCTGACAGGAATGTTCTTTCTGGCTCAAAATAACTTTTATGAGAGATATAATTAAGATCTGTTTGGCAGATAATAGGACAACAAACCATTTACAACAGTTTAACCCTTTAAGACCTACCATAGAACCAAGTCCGCCAGAGCTTATATTATATGTTGTAGTGCCATTTTTGGGAGCATTTCAAGTTGCTATACATCAATACAACCATTACAGCCTAGATTTTAATAATATGTATGAATTAAGTGCATCGTAATTACATAAATTGCAAAAAAGTGCAATAAACTACAAAAAAATTGAAAATCGTTTTTGTTTTTTTAACATATATTTCTAGTTAGAGAAATTTAAGAGGCTTATCCCTCAAAACTGTAAATACAAAAAAGTTGCACAAAATAGTTTCCCACCACAGGAAATTTATTTTGAGTGTCTTCATAGTTTTATTTTTGAAATACACCAATTTTTATATACTGCAGGAAAAACGAAAATAAATATTATAATGCAAATTTGCAAAAAAGCAGCATATGCATCAAAATAAACTATTTCCAGCAGTGCAATATGAGTCCTAAGCATCCCAGAAACCACACAGAAAGTCATAAAGTCAAACATAACTTTTAAAAACACCAGTATAGGCTCATTGAGGCCCGGACGATAAAAAACTACATTTCCGCGAAATGACGTCACTTCCGGTTTCGGGCAGGTCATGGCGGACATGCGATAGTTCGCGCTGACGTCTAATCCAATGTAGGAAGTGTTACAAACAGCTGATCGGATCGGCAAACCGTGTTTCTGGAATATTATGTTTTTGTTGCTGCAAGTGCTTTTTATGCAGTTTTTGCAAAACTATATGTGGAAGGAAACTGTGACCGAGGACAAGCTGATGGCATAAGATGTAAGTACAACTCCTCAGGTTTTATATGCAAAAGAAATTATTGCGCTAGCTCACGTGGTTGCAGAGCTACCGGGATTTAAAAATAGTTACGCAAAACAGAGCGTGCCCGCTCCGACCGGTTTTAAAGGGTTAAATGCAGGCAGCCACTTTTCGGCCCAACAAAAACCAACAGGAACGATGCTTTAAACAATGAAGGGTGAGGCAGGTATCACATGTAATATAAAGTATACAGATGCAGATGCTATATAACCACTCAGTTAGGTGAATTTGTGGTTACACCTTAGCTAAATGAGCTGATAATGACTTTTTATAACTATTCGGTTTTTCTGAAACCCTACCAGGTAGTTGTTCCCGTGTTTTGATCGCAGCATGGAGGCCACCTCCCTCAGGTTGGCAGCGTAGCTCTGCTCCTCCACATTGCTGGGGAAGGAGACAGAGATGATCCGCTCTGTGATGTAGATCAGGTCCAGCTCGTAGCTCTCCTCCAGGGCCTGCAGCAGACTCGCACTCCTGCAGAAAAAAAACCAAGAAGTAATTCTGAGTATCAGCTGATAGAAAAACCAATGCAGGTCACCGGACTGCAAAAGATAGCTTTAATACCCCGAAGTAATGCAGCACATGTGATTTATACACTGCAGCTGAATGGCTTTAACCGAAGACTGCCAAAAGGATGGAAGCTGGTCAATTTTAATTAGGTAGCAGTTTGTGTTTAATTTATACAGATACTGGATACACATCTGTCCAGTTCATGTTATATGGGCAGAGAGGGCTGCTTTACTAAAGATGGTAGCAGTCCCAGTTTGTTTTAGGCAATAACATTATTATGGACACAGTCATTTCTTACAGAGAAATGTCACAAGACACGTCTTCTTCTGATGTAATTTCAAGTTAGTACTTTAACTTCACATCTTCAGAGTCACATATTTGGAGCCAAAGGCAACAAAAAAAATGATGTGGCTTCATACGTCATCTGTAAACTGAATGTCCGCAGTGTTGCAAACAACATTTCAGAATTACTAGGACACAACATTCTTTCTTCAAGTCAACATGGAACAAATATCCTAATATGGAGAAGGCAATACACCATATAAATCCCAAATCCACAATGACATCACTAAATCTCAGCGGGGTTCATGCTCTCCCTGCTGCATTAAACACAAGTCATGTTCTTAGACTTTGTCTGCAAAGAAAAGCGAGCGAGGAGAAGGTGACGCATCCGATGAACACACCAGGGGGCTGCGGGATATGTGGACCATGCAAACTGATGATCAGTGATGAGCAAAAGTGTTTTGGTTCTTGTTCTGCTGAGTCTTTTTTCCCCCTCATTTGGTCAGATTAGATCTAAAAGGAAGAGATTAAGGAGGCCCAGATGAAAGGGATGTCAGAATTCCCTGATTGATCCATAATTTACTCTCAGGCTCTTGAGAAAATGAGAGCAGGTGTTGCTCTTTGACTTTTCCAGATGTCTAAACAACACTAAGATTTGGTTAAAAAGCGAAGGAGCAAAAAAGCAATTTTTTCAGTAATCTGAGGAGATTAGCAGAAAAAGATGTGCTTTTACAGCTAAATATTGGAGAAAAGTCCATTTAAGACCAACATGCAGCCCTCAATGAGTCGTGCTTACTTGAAAGAAAGGTCCTTAAAACGTGGCATCAACTTGCTTTTATGCTTAAAAAATAAGTTATCTGCATGGCTGAAGTGGCTCTCAACCAAATTAAATGTCATTTGCATTAATTAGTGGATGGTTTACTCACTTTTGAATCACATTTAGTCTTTTTTTTATCCCTCTTTTAAATGTTTGCTAAAAGATGACTTTTACTTTACAAATCCTTCTTTTTAAAGGTCAGGACTGATCAGATTTACCCCAGAAACAGCATCCTTGTAATTATTCTTGTGTACAGCACTTTGTTTCTGCTGCATCTGTTTTTAAAACGTTTACTAAATAATTTTGGGATAGTATGATACTGCATGGTACCAATGGACATCTGGTGCTTGGGCTTGTCCCCAAATGTGCTGCCCACAGTGTGTTTATAGTCTTTAGAGTGTAAAATATATTTCATTGTTACTTTTACATTTCTCACTGATATTGCTCTGAAGACGTACTTGAAAAATTTTCTTGTCTTTATTGATTTGTGACATTTTTCTGTCAAACTCACTTTTACATATAACTCTTGTAGCCCTGTTTACGTGCCAAAGAGCTGTTGCAACGAGCAATGTTTAGTTTAGTTCTGTGTGTGTGTGTGTGTGTGTGTGTGTTTGTGCGTGTGCGTTTCTCCCACCATTTGCACATAATTACTGAACTCTCTTTGAAATTAAAAAAAAAAGATCCACCTAATTAGAAACACAGGAACAATGTACAATGTACTGTACCAGATATTCATCTGCAGTCCCTAGAGGAGTCCATGAATGACATGCAGATAAAAGTTAGCAATCAGAAGTCATAAATCTAAAACTGACACATAAAAAGGACGTATACAAGAAAACACCTTAACAGAAAAAAAAACTGAAGAAGAAGAAGTGTGGATGGGAGAAAAACACAGTTGTCTGGTGACTTTGCACTCAGTACTTGCAGTGACCAACAATATGCCACACCCCTTAACTCTAGGGCAGCAGTTCCCAACCTTTTTTGCGCCACGGACCGGTTTATGCCCGACAATATTTTCACGGACCGGCCTTTAATGTGTCGCGGATAAATACAACAAAATAAAACTA